TGCAAGAAAAACCAGTGTTCTTAACCGCTGAGTCATCTCTCCAGCCCCCAAATATTATATTTTAAAAAGAATTTTCCTGAGACTTATTTGCAGCAGCCAAAATGCAAAACAATCCAAGTGTTCTTCAGTGGGTGAATGCTTAAACACTCTCATACAGCTGTACCAGGGAACACTACTGAGCACTTAACAGTGATTACTGACCCATGCAATAACTTGGACAAATCTCCAAGGAATTATGTTTGATAAGACAAAATCAAGTCAAAAGGATTGTATACATGGCCCTATAATTATATTTATATAGCATCTTTGAAGTTACAAAAATTGAGAATGGATTTGTAGCTATCAGGGCTCAGGAACCCGGTACGGATCTAGGGCAGGGGGGTGGATGTATGTGTGGGTGTGAAAGACAGCAAAGAGAATCCTGATGGTAATAGAAATGTCCTGCTTTGTGACTGTGTCATGTCAAGGTCCTAGTCATGGTGTTGTGCAAAACTGGGCAAAGGATCATATAAGATCTCTCTAGATTATTTCTCTCTCCAATTATCTAAAATTAAAATGTCTACTTCTTAAAATGAGTTTTAACTTTATTCATCTACTTATTCTTTATCACTATTTTTTTCTGATTTTTTAATTTATTCATTGTGTTCTTTGTCCATTTCATGCATGTATGTCGTGCATTCTGGTTCCTCCACACACATCCCCCTTATTTCCTCCCATTCCTGCCAGGCCACCTAATTCCTTACAGATCTCTGTTCCATATTTAACAGTTTTTGTTTAGTGTCCTGCAGGTCTTTGGAGGGGTGGGGGAGGTCTTTTTGAGATAGGGTCTCCCTGTAGCCCCAGCTAGCCTGGAACTTACATGTAGACCAGGCTGGCCTTGATCTCACAGACATCCGTCTGCCTCTCTTTCCCAAGTGCTGGAATTAAAAGCATGTGCTACCACACCCAGCACTGTCCTACAGATTTTAATTAAGGCTGTATGACCCTGAATTTGGAAATAGCCATCAAAGCCTAGTGGGCTCACCAGTGGTTACACAACTGGATCCTATGCTTCTCCATCTCCCAGACTCTATTAGTTGCCAGTAGATGAGTGCTAAGTGGTAGGACCCCATAAACTCCTTCCCCATCCATAACTGACTGTTAGGAAGATCCAACTTGTATGGGCCCAGTGCCAGCAGACAGCCAATGTGAGCTCATGAGTGTAAGAGCCATGATGTGTTGAAAAGATGGCATTTCACAGCCCTTCTTCCTATCTTGAGGTTCTTACATTCTTTCTATCTCCCCTTCCACAAGGTTTCTTAAGTATTAAAAAGGCAGTATAAATGTCTTATTTAAGGCTGAGGTCTCAACCAGTCCTTATTCTCAACATCTTATGCAGCCATAAGTCTTTGCATTTACCTCCATTCTCCACAAGGTGAGGCTTCTCTGTTTAAGGCTGAAAGTAGCCTTTGTCTATAAGTGTAAGTATTTAGAATGTGGTTTCATGCTATGCACATCAGTTCAGCTAACCAGCAGTCCTGGGTTCCCCTCTAGGGCCTAAGACCTCTACAGTCATGGGTTTTGGAATGAGTTTAAAGTACTAAGTGTAGGTTATTCTACCACTATTAATTCTCTCCTGCTGCTATATTTTGATGAATTTTTTAGTTCATTTTTCAACTTTTTAAGTTGGGTGCTTGGTTTATTTTCAGTCTTTAGTTTTTAGTTATTAAAAAATCTTGAAAATGAGGGCTGGAAAGATGGCTCAGCAGTTAAGAACACTTTCTGCTCTTACAGAAGATCCAGGTTCTGTGATTCACAACCATCTGCTATTTCAGTTTCAGGGGGTCTGGTGCCCTCTTCTGACCTCTATAGGTACCAGGCATGAACATGGTACACATACATACATGAAAACAAACATTCATACACATAAAAAATAAATAAATAAATCTTTCCCCAAAAGTTTTGAGAGCATTCATTTTCTCTGAGGCCAGCTTTAACTATATTCCATAGTCATTAATATGTTTCATTATTTTACAAATAAGTTTCTGGATGGAGCATGTAATGTGGAAAAGTATTTCTTCATTTATAATAGCTAACCCCTTTTCCTTTGTGTACAATTTTAATTTAGCTGTAGTATAACAGAAGAATGCAACCTGAAAATCCTTCACTTTGGCAATTATTAAGATTTTTGCTTTGCTAGACTGTAACAAAATCACTCCCAACAGCACATACAAATGATTTTACTTGTCATTGCTAGAAGATTTTGCTGGATCTCACATATTGTTCATCTTTTAGAGGCTTTTTCTTTGAGGCAGTCTCATTTTATAGGCCAGGCTGGCCTAAAAATGCATATGTAGCCCAGGCCAATCTAGAAGGCATACATAGCCCAGGGTAACTTCCAGCATCTTCCTACTTTTCCGCCCCCAAGAATTGGGATTCCTGGCTTGAGTTGCCACACCAGCTGCCAGAGGCAATTTTACCTGATTAAATGTGTTGTTGCTAACCCAGAACATGCTCAAGTTTACATGCAACCCTAGAACATGCTCAAGTTTACATGCTACTCTAGTTGAGTCATCTCAATAACTCCAAAGAATAGAAAGCTGAATATATTGTAATGTTCACTTTATTGATTTGCTTTATCTTATCTTACATTAGTAGTTCATTGTTATAAATGATAAACCAGGGGCTGGAGAGATGGCTCAGCAGTTAAGAGCACTGACTGCTCTTTCAGAGGACCAGGGTTCAATTCTCAGCACCCACATGGTGGTTAACAACCATCTATAGCTCCAGTTCCATGGAATCAGATGCCTTTTTCTGACCTCCAAGAGCATTGCAGGACACGGGTGCACTTACACACATGCAGGCAATACACTCATGCACATAAAATATAATAATAAATAAAATATTAAAAATAAAACAAATGATAAAGGAATACTGTCATTATAACTAACTTAAGTCCATAGTTTATGTAAGACTTTATTCTTTCTGTTGAAAGGGATTTTGACAAATATATATACTGACACATGCCTACTTTTATTGTCTTCATAGTTTTGGGGGGGTGTCTTTTTTTTTGAGACAGGGTCTCCCTGTAGCCCCAGCTGACCTAGAACTCACAGAGATCTGCCTGCCTCTGCCTCTCAAGTGCTGGGATTAAAGGTATGTGCCACCATACCCAAATCTGTCTTCATAGGTTTACCATCTCCAAAATCACATATAGTTATTGCTATAGTTATAAAATGTCCCTGGAGGAATGTGTGACTATACCCCCAGAAAAGGAAGCATTCTCTCCTCAAGGGAGGATAGAGTCTCACACCACTCAGCAAACTCAGGCAACTTACAAAGGTCACAAGGCCCCTCTGCAAGGTCATGTAAGAAGCATTGATAGCTGGGGAGAAGAGAGTCTTTAGTGGAGCTCTCTGAAGGTTATATACCCATCTCTGAAGAGATGCCATTTTCATGAGTTATCACCTATCCTGGGGTGGAACTTTTTGGTGATGCAGCTGCCTTATGTCAACTATATTTCTGCAAGTAACCCCCCACATGTCCATGCTCCTGTAAGTAACCCCAATAAACTCATTGGTTAATGAAGCTAGACTTGGGCAGAATCCTTTCTTTGGTTTGTCATTGGTGCCCCATATGGGAATCAATAGATATTCATTGACTTTTCTCCAGGAAAAGTCACACAGCACCCTCACAGGCTCATGTGTTGAACAGTTGGTCCCCAGCTGGAGGCACTGTTCTGAGAGGTTCTGGAAACTTAAAAGAGGTGGAGCCTAGTTGGAGGAAGTAGATCACTAGGGTGTGTCCTCAGGCTCCTATCTTTTCCCAGTGTCTGCCTCTCTGCCACCATGATGTCCCACCTTACCACAGGCCTAGATCAGGGGATCCAAGGACTGTGATCTGAAACCTTTCAAAAAGTGAGCTTCTTCCTTTACATTGTATTTTTGTCCAAAGCAACAAGAAGGCCAACTGATAAGGAAATTTAGTACCAAAGAAGTGGCATTGTTACTGTGACTATTTGCAATGTGTTTCTTAAGCTTTTGGAACTGGTTTACAGGAGAAATTTGGAAGAGTTTGGAGAAACAGCCTGGAAAAAGTTTGGGGAACTATATACAAAATTTAATGGGAAGTTCTGGTGTCAGGGCGCAAAATTCTGAAGAATGGTGGTAACGATGGTGCTCAGGTGAAAATGAGGACTCTCTTGAGAATTGGACTACAGGCCAAAATGGCTACAAATGGCAAGGCCATAAGGATGGACTGTCCCATCCTGTGACGAGAGATCACTGTCTAGATTGGGTGTTTCCCAGTTCTTGGCATCTTGTTCAAATTTAATGCAAATCATGTTCATTTATCGGAACAGTCATGAAAAATTTTGTAACTGAACATCAGAAACTCTTGGCATATCTGAGGCTTCCAACATTATATATGAAAACAAACAAAAATGGCAACTTTTCACTTACCACAGTGAATGATTAAATAATATGTGGCACATTCATACTTCAGAATTCCCTACAGCTGCTAAATTCAATGAGATAAAATCTGTCAGCATGGGTTAGAAACAACATCGATAGGCACTAGAGAGTGAAACACATTGAGTATTTGGTTCTATACAGTATTGCATATGTGGATGTGCACAGGAAGCACTCTGACAGGACACACTAGAAGTGGTTAACCTAAGAAGAAGTGTAAAGAAGGAAAGAACCCTTAATGTGTGTGTGAGCCTTCTTACCCCCAAGGCTTGGGTTAAAGCCAGGATGTTCCCTGCCACACCAGCCTGGGGAAATCCTGAATGCAGGCAAGTTCCTCTTCTAGGAACCCCTGGGGGTCTGAATGGCTTCTCCAGCCCCTCCCCGTGCCAGCCACTAAGGTTCCTATTGTCAGCCTCTTTCTCTCCTCTCTCTGACACTCAAATAGGGCATGTAGGGGTTACACCATGACTTACACCCTGCCTGGTCCAGACACTCTCACCTCCCTCTTCTTTGCACCCTACATGTCCCAAGAGTTCCAAATAACCAGGCACATGAGTTTCAAGTATTTTTCTTTTTCCTACTCTGTTCAGAAGGCTGAAATTTATAACAGTTGCAATGAATTGTGGGAAGAGGCTTCCCAAAGCCTGAGACAATAACACCACCTTCTGTGTTTTCCCATAGGCCCTCCTCACTCAGGGCTTTCTCTTCCTCACTTCACAATCCCCAGTGAAGAAGAAGCTGAGGTGGCAGGGGAGCATGGTGAATGAAATGTTAGGTGGACGCACAGCGGAGCGGCTAGTGGGTGATATTCCGACTCTTCTCACAAGCCCAGCGGTTCACCTGCAGGCAGAAGTTGTCATTCCAGCGGCCATCTGACAAGATTTCAGCGCAGTCTTCACCTCCTCCCAGCTCATGACCCTGCCAGTTATCTGGTTGAGTGATAGCCCAGTTCCTAAGGAAGTAAAACAAAGCTCAAACTCTGACCTTGCCACCTCCCAACAACCCTGTTCCCCTACCCTCAAAAAAGCACGGCCTTTGAAGGGTTCAGGGGTTGAAGATGTGCAGCCTTGGAGAGTTTGGAAGGGGAGGTTTGGGAAAGTTAGCCTGGGGGACCTGTAGGAATATCTTGAGGAGAAAGGCCAGGTGGTTGCCCCTGCAGCAAACTAACAAGGGGATGGTGGGAAGGAGGTACTTACTGGTAGTTGTTCCTGTACTCAGTTCCATCCACCCATTTCCAGGAGCCATCCCTGTCAGTTAGACCTATCCAGGTACTAAATGAGCCTGTATGCTGTACCAGCCTGGGTTATAGTGAGATAGAAAAAAAAAAAAAAAAAAAAAAAAACAGGCATGGGAGGAAGTTGCTTCATCCCCCATCAATGCAAACATCCATGTGTCCCCCACCCCAGCCTTCCCCAGCCTGACCTGCCCATGCGGAATCCTCAGCCTCCAACACAGCCATTTCCTTGCTTTTTCCTTTGTAAACACAGCTATTGTTAAATGAACACCTACTGGGTTAGACTTTGTGTTAAATGCTTTATACAAGGATCATCTCATTTAATCCTCAGTAGCTCTCCAAGTTGGGTGCCACAGTAACCTTCACTTTACAAAGTAGTTGTTAGAGCCCAGAGAATCAATCTAGTATCTAGTTTGTGACCACTGCTCTCTCTTTCCGGCCTGAGCTTACTTCCCACTCCATTCCTAACACAGCTACTACCCTGACTCTGGTCTCACTGTCTTCTGCATACAGCATTAAACTCTTAAGACCCTGATCTGGCTGCACCATAGATCCCAGAACCCATGACAGATCTCGGGTTCAGTCCCCTTCTCAAGCACATCGGCCCCTGGTTCTCTAACTCCTGTTATCATTTCCTGAGGCTTGCCAGGCCCCAGAGTTTCCAAGCTTGGGCCCACTGTCCAGAGCACCATTATGACCTGGCTATGTAGGGTCTGGCAATCTCTACTGAAAGTAGGATATCCTGGATACAAGGGGGCATCCCAGTCAGCCAACTAGCGGAGGGCTTCAGCAAAAGTGTCTTTGAGCTTGCAGAAAGCCCCCTAGGACTCTTGTACAAAAAGGCACTGCAAGGGCTAGAAAGATCACTCAGTGGTTATGAGCACTGACAGCTCTTGCAAGGCAGTTCTAGGAACCTGAGTTTGGTTCCTAGTACCTACCCAGTGGCTAACAACCATATATAACTCCAGTTCCAGGAAATCCAGTGTGCTCTCCTGGCCTCCAAGATCATTACACCCACATGGTGCACTTAACACATGCAGACAAACACATATACACATAAAAGAAAAGTTAAAAACTATTTTTAATTATTTTTTTGTGTGTATGAGTGTTTTGCCTACATGTGTGTAAGTGAACCGCATGTTTGCAATGCCCACAGAGGTCAGAAGAGGGCATCAGATCTTCTGGAACCTGAGTTGCAGATGGTTGTCAGCCACCCCATGGATGCTGAGAATCGAACTCAGGTCCTCTGCAAGAGTAGTAAATGCTCTTAACAACTAAGCCATCTCTCTAGCCCCAAATACATTTTTTTTTTATTTTAAAGTCACTCCAGGTAGCTTTCTCTTATAAATGTGACTATTCCTGGAGATATAAGTGCCCTTTTTTTGGATAATTGCAAAAGAATACATGGTCACCTGCCTTTGTGAAGGAAGGAATAGTTTGACCAACATGCATTCTGGTAATGCCCTGTGATGGCATGTGAAGGAACCCCACTGCATTTGAAGGAAAATGGCCCAAATCCATTCACACTCTCCAGAGACTAACCAACATTGTAGTTGGCTACCTCATCCAAGAACAGAATCAGTGACAGCAGCACCCATGAATTCTAGAATTCTGCAGGTAAAGCAATGGCCCATGGTGAAGAGGCAGCTCTCCAGGCCTGGTGAGGCTACTCCACAAGTTCAGAAGGGCCAACAAAGTTGGGGAGAAGAGATAAATATTTGGAAAAAAAAAGCCATCAATTGGGATGTTTTTGAGACTATCATGCCCTGAGAAGAAATATGCTAGGGGCGGGGATATAGCTCAGCAGGCAGAGTTCTGGCCTAGCAGAGGGAGGCAGAGACAAGAAGATGGCTGGAGCTTACTGTTCTCCAGCCTAGCAGACATGTGAACCCAGATTCAGGAAAAGACCCTGCCTCAGAAGAACAGGCAGAGAGTGATGGAAGAGGACACCCAGCGCCTTCTCTGGCCTCCATGCACACACACATAAAGGCACATACACACACACACACACACACACACACACACACACACAGATACACAAATAATAAATAAATAAATAAATAAATAAATAGCAAAAGCATAAAATCAGGATTGAGATTAAATGTATCAATTTAAAACTAAATGTAAGGAAGATACAACTGCTTATTAAAAGAAAAATCATCTCAGTTACTCAGGCAACTGAGTTAGGAGGATCTGGAGGCCTGGACAACATAGTAAGACCTCATCTCCAAAGAAAGAAAAAGGGAGGAGAGAGAGGGAGAGAAAGAGAGAGGAAGAAAAAGAGGGAGGGAGGGAGGCAGGCAGGGAGGGGAGGAGGAAGAGGGAGTTAAGGAAGAGAGAGAGAAGGAAGGTGAGAAAGCATTCTTACTTGTGGTCCTCCTAAGGGCTAAGAGAAATCACTCTCACTGAATGTCTGGGGTTTTTTTGGTTTCTTTCTTTCTCTGTTTTACTTTTATTTATTTTTATATATGTGTTTGTGCCTACTTGTCTGTATATGCACCACATACAGGCAGTGCCCAAGGAGGTCAGAAGAGGGCATGAGATCCCTTGAAACTGGAGTTACAGGTGGTTATGAGCCACCCAATGTGGGTGCTGGGAACTGAACCCAGGTCCTCTGCAAGAGCAGCAAGTGCTCTTGACCACTGAGCCATCTCCCCCAGTACCTGGATTTTTGTCACTTTAATCAAAACCATAGTCTTTATGCAAACTGTAAGAGAAATACCTTAACTTTGGCCTCATGGTAGCATTCTACAGAAGACCACTCAGGATAAACCCAAGATTAATTAAATCAGAATCTTTGAAAGATCCAGGAGTTAACATTTTTTAGTCCAGGCTGAGATTCACTAATCTAAAACAAAGAGACTCAAAAATGCTTGGAAGTGAAAGGCTATGTATGCAAAGTTGCCAGTAGCCAAGAATGTCCATGATAGCAGAGTCAGACAGGCATGTATGCAGTCGCAGGTTCTGAATGCAGTGCCCCTTATGTTTAGATCAGATTTTTTAAAAACACACTGTTGTGTGAACGTTTGCCCTGTACCTTGCAAACAGGCCACATTTTGTTGCTAGTAGTTTCCTGAGTCCCTGCAGAGATATGCCCTTTGGTCTGCCCACCTTTTGTTCTTGAACACCTGCTTAGAGCACCTCAACCATGCTAATAAAAATTTGGGGAGTTGGAAACTCAGGGCTCTTGGTTCTACAGAGCAGGGAGTCTCCTGGTCCCCAGCTTCCTTTAATATTAAATTGTCTCATGTGTAATATATTATTAGATACCACACCCGGCCCTCTTTTGTGTACATTACCACCCAGCCATGCAGGACATAGCACTCACTCCACTGTGTGCCTCCCAGAGCCCTACTACACTTCTGTCCCTACTACACTTCTTCCTTAGGTTAAAAACTAAGAAATAGCCAGGCGTGGTGGTGCACGCCTTTAATCCCAGCACTTGGGAGGCAGAGGCAGGCGGATCTCTGTGAGTTCAAGGCCAGCCTGGTCTACATAGTGAGTTCCAGGACAGCTGGGGCTACAGGGAGACCCTGTCTCAAAAAGACCAAAAAAAAAAAAAAAAAAAAAAAAAAAAAAAAAAAAAAACTAAGAAATAAATCCCAGAAGAAAACTGACTCTCCTTCTCTGAGCAGCCATCAATTGCCAATAGCTCCTCAGCTAAGGGTGGGGACTCATGAGCTCCACCCACCCTGGAATTCTGACCAACTTAATCTTGTGCAGACTTTATTGTGTATGCAGTCACAGCCGCTGTAAGTTCATGAGTGTAATGGCCCTGTCATGTCCAGAAAACACTTTCACAACAGTGTTCCACAACCTCTGGCTCTTGGCCCCTGATGGGTTGCCTGAGTCCCAGTGGATGGGCCTATACACACACACACACACACACATACACACACTGGCAGCACTGAGTGGACTTAGTGTCTTAGAAAAAGAAAAGAGTGCATAAAGTTAGGAGGATGATGTGGTGAGTAGCAGTTCTGGTAGAAGTTCTGGGGGAGAGATGTAGAATTGATTAAAACATTGCATATATATATATGAAATTCTAAAAGAATAATGAGGGGCAGGGGAGATGGCTTTGCTGGCTTTGCTGTTAAGAGTGCTGTCTGCTCTTCAGACGACCAGGGTTCTATTCCCAGGACCCACATTGTGGCTAACCAACTGTAACTCCAGTTCCAGGGGATCCAACACCTTCTTCTGACCTCTTCAGGCATTGCATGACATGGGTGCACTTATATGGAAGCAATCCACTCATACACATAAAATAGAAAAATAAAATATTTTTAAAGTAATAATGAAAATAAATAAGAAATACAAGGGTAAGAATGCTTGCCATGCAAGCCTGATGACCTGAGTCCAACCCCCAGAGCTCACATAAAGGTGAAAGGAGAGAACTAACTCCACAAAGTTGTCTTCTGACTTCCATATGCACATCGTGGCACACACACCTAGACACACACATCTCTCACAAACACACATAATATTAGTAATAAATAAAAATAAAACCTCAAAATAAATAAGAAACATGTCTGATTGAGTCTCTTGATTAAGCCTTCAAGATTTTGGAGTCCCCCAAATTGTAATAGCCAAAGTAACTTCATTTTGTATAAAGCGGCCACTTTAAACTTCAAAGGCTAGAAAAACAACCAGCTTCAAGGTTAAGTGCCTGAACTTGGTTGCTTCCCCTTAGAAGAGTGCTTTCTTTGGAGTAGCTGACCTTGGTCAGCTCCCAGACACTGCAGCTGTGCTTCTTGCCTAGCCAAGAAGCCTAAATAACAATAGTAATCAGAAAGTGCCTTACTGTCAAGGTCTTTATACCTCTGTTAAGAGGACTAACAAAAGCTTGTTCTGGCTTCTGTAGTTTGCTTATCTGCTAACTGACCCTACTCAGGACCACCTGGCCTTACTCATGTGTGATGAAATTCCTACGGTATTTGCAGTTTTTACCTTTATAAGCTAGTTGCACCCTCCCCTAGGGGCCATGGGTAACAATTTCCTCACCTGCTCCTCCCAGGAGTTGATGACCAACAGGTGGGCGTTCTCCAGCTGGCAGTACTTGTCAGCCTCAGCCCAGGTCATACCAGTCCGAGAAAACCAGTAGCAACTGCCCCCATGCTGTACCCAGTTAACAGGGCAACATTCTGTGCCTGAGGGAGAAAAGGGGAGAAGACAATGAGATCCAGTTGGAGGGGACATACACACTGGGACCCAAAGCTCTCTGTCCTACCATTGCTCTGGAGAAATGCCAGCTGACAAGTCAGGGAGCGCAGATCCAATGGGAAATGCTTCAGGTGAAGAAGCAAGGTAGAATGATCTAGAAAACAAATGAATGGATAGAGATTGGGCAGGCATGTGGATACCCACCTGCCAGGACCAGTCACAGAACTTCAGTTATTGGCTGAGGAAGCACACACACATTCCACATTCCATGCCACATGCCACACTATAAAAACCCACACAAATATACAAAATACAACATAGACACCACAGAGAGAGAGAGAGAGAGAGAGAGAGAGAGAGAGAGAGAGAACGTCTTTGACCTGCTTTTAAGTCCTGCTGCTGTTTCTCTAAATTGGCTCTGAGGGATGTCAACTTGTCATCTGTGCCGCCCCCTGAAAAAGAGGGATACTAAATGATTTCCCTTCAGGCTGCCTCCTGAACATGTCTCCAGCCTCACACTCCTGGGGCACCAGTGGAGACCCATCACCTTGTCCCAGACATTACTTAATCTACTGCCCATATCCCCCAACCTCCCTCAAATACTCCACACTGCCATAGAGGCTCTGACCACTGTGTTGCTTAAACTCCTTCACTAGGTCTCCAAGTTCTCACAGCCAAGTCCTACTCAGTTTGCCATGTGGCCTGGCCCCTCCCTGCTCTCTAACCCCTGACACTGTTCACCAATCACCTCCTTTCACACTAGAATTAGACACCAAATCTGCAATGATTTTCCTCATCTCCTGCCCATAATGGCCTCTTCTCTCGGCCTGGCAATCAATGATCTCCCTTCACTTCACCCCCTACCCTGCTTCATCCTCCAATCCCCTCAGAGCAGGCCCCATGTTCTGGGACACCTTGCCAGTTCCTTAGGTTGTATTGTCTGCTCTGATCTTCATCCCTACAGACCCTGAACATACTCATACTGCAGACCTAGCAAATCTGTGTAGATAAAAAAATGCCAACCATCTAGCCCACTCACCATGGAAGCCCAGAGCCTGGATCTCCATCAGAGTACTGGAGGATAAGTTGCTGAAAGCTTCTTTCAGGGTCTGCAGCTCTGCTTGCAGCTGTATGCCTTGTGAGGACACAAGTAGGACAAGATGGATGTGGGGCTGTGTCCCTATCACCATCTGTCACTACCGCTATCATTGGTCCCATCATTTCCCTACCACTGACCCCCATTTGCACCCAGCACCTGCCCCATGCTGCCTCTACCTCTTCCCCTCTTGTTGCCCCCATCACCACCCTGAACTCTTTTCCATCCTTGCCTCATCCCTGTCAGGCCCATGACCTCACTTTGGGATGAAGTCACACAGATGGCCACCAGTAGCAGGACATTGAAGCCCAAGGCAAGCAGACTCAGATGGAACCTGGAACAGAGGCGATGTGGAAAGGGCTGGGAAGGAGGCTGCCCTGTGAGAGACAGAGACTGTGTCAAGAATTCCAGAGAACTATAGATGGAGAACAAGACACAGTAGAGCACAGGGCACAGAAGTCTGAGGAGGCACAGCCTGGGTAAGGGAGAAAAACAGATGGGGGCTGAGGGGATTGGACAGGTTTAGATCCCAGCACTGGGGCATCACACAAACATTGGCATGCCTGCACCCATGCATATGTCTCTACACAGGTGCACACAACACTCATGCACATGACACAAGATACACTAGTTGTGTGCAAAGGTGAGATCTTACACCTGGAAAGAGGAAAACACAGGAAGACTGGGGAACAGAACTAGTCTTTATTAGATACCTTTAAAAAGGAGCACACCTTTAATCCCAGCACTCAAGAGGTAGAGGTAGGTGAATCTCTGTAATTTCCAGGCTAGCCTGATCTACATAGTGAGTTCCAGGCCAGCTGGGGCTGCAGGGAGACCCTGTCTCAAAAAGACAAAAAAAAAAAAAAAAAAAAAGGAGGAAGAGGAGAAGGAGGAAGAAGAGGGTCTATAAATGGTTTTGCTGCCTGCCCATGAGTCAGAAACCTGCAGATCACTTCTATCTATCTTAGCCCCTGTCTCTTCAGACTGGAGGGTCTACAGGCTCCATTCTGTGCTTTTTTTTTTTTTTTTGAGGCAGTGTCCAGCTGGCCTGGAACTCACTATGTAGACCAGGCTGACCTTGAACTCACAGAGATCCACCTGCCTCTGCCTCTGAGTGCTGGGATTAAAGGTATATACCACTATGCCCAGCCATCCTGTGCTTTTCTTAAAAGTAATGCCCACACCTCTCATACAAGCCTCTCCTCTATCACAAGCCCTCTGGGATTCTTCAGCCCAGGTCATCCCACCATAGAAGACACACCAAGAGCCACTGTCCAGGCCTACCCACTTCACTCATCTCTCCCAACTCAGAACCTCTTCCCCCAGTTCCCATCATCCTTGTCCCTGTCCCCAGAAATTTCACTGGAAGAAATTTCGCTGTCCCCTTGGCCTTCAGTCCTCCTACAGTGACCTCTCCTGCCCCTTGATACATTTGCACTATGACTACCATGTTTTCCTTTCATGCCGACAAACACACATTTCTTTCATATATACCCACATACTCGGACTTATGCACACATTCTTACACTTTCTCACACACTTACCTTATGCATTCTCACACACCCACACCTTCACCTTCATAAGCTGGCCTGACCCTGCTGTCCAGGCCCAGAGGAGTGACCCTTCCCCAGCCCTGTCCTCCTGCCTTCACCCACCCACACTCAGGCTCCTCTACATGAGCTTCTGACTCTGAGGCCTTCCCTGCCTCAGTGTCATCATGCCTAGGCACCCCCATATTCTGGGGATAGCTCAGTCAGGAGCCAGGAATCCTCCTGAGGTCATTTCCTACTGCTTTTCTGAGTTGGATACTGCTACTACAAGTGACCATCCAGAACTCAATGACTGTCACCTTCTTTCACTGTAGCCACTTTCAGGATCCCAACTTAACACAGAGACTATGACTCTGAGTTGTCCCCAATCCAAACTCCCTAAACAAGCCTCCCCTGTTCCTCATCTCCCCCAGACACCCTCCCTGAAACCTTCATCCTGCTATGCTGTGATTGGCTGCAAAACACTGTGAATTTTATCCTGCTGGGTGCTGGATGTTTTCATAGTTCTTTAAATATTCAGCTTTCTTCTGGGATGTACTTGAGTAACTTAGAATCTTTCTGACCCTGTGAGCCCTAACCATCTTGGTTCTTGACTTTTAGCTTCATCTCTTCAACTTGAAGAGTCTGAAGACTCTGTCTCAATTTCCCATCTCTTCCCAGTGAATGCATCCACTAACATGTTGGGAACTTGATTCCCAGTGCAACAGTCCTGGGAGGTAGAGCTAGCAGGTGATTAAGTCTTAAGGCTCTGCCCTCCTGAAGGGATTACTGATATCATTGCAGGAAAGGATTCCTTGCAAAGAGCTCCCCTTTTGCTGTCTCTCTCACACCACCCCCCTTTGTTCTTCTACTATGGGATGATGCAGTAAGAAAGCCCCTACCAGACACAGTCCTCAGTCTTGGGCTTCCCAGCCTCAAGAACCACAAGCCAATAAATCCCTGTTTACTGTAAATTATTCTGTCTCATGTATTCTGTTTCAGCTGCATAGGACAGACTAAGTCATATTCCATCCAAAAGCTCATTCTGACCAATCTCCTCAACCAACCCAGCCTTGAACTCCACTGCTAAACCCTGACTGCTTTCCCTAGTACTGTTCATGCAAAGAACACTTTTCCTGTTCCCACCTAACCTGTGATCTATCAACTGCCCACACTGTGTCACCAACTAGCTCTGGCATCATGGTCAAGTCATTCATTCTCTTAGTGCCCAGAAATGGCAATAACAGGGCTGGAGAGATGGCTCAGCAGTTAAGAACACTGGTTGTTCTTGCAGAAGACCCGGGTTCAAATCCCAGCAACCACATGGCAGCTAACAACTGTCTGTAACTCCAGTCCCAGGGTATCCGTCAGCCTCTTCTGACCTCCGTGGGCATTGCACGACACGGGTGCACTTACCTACATGCAGGCAATACATGCACAACATAAAATAAAAATAATAAAGAAAAAAAATTTTTAAAGAAATGGCAATAACAAAAGCAGTCACCTGACTGAGTTGTTCTGAGAAATCATATGAATAAAAACATATAAAGGATGGTGTAGGCAAGTTTGAAAGTCAAAGAATGGCTCTACCAAAGGTGTAATAGCAACAGCCATATTTAACCTTCTTTCAGAAAAAAAAATTAATTACAGGGGCTGGAGAGATGGCTCAACACTTAAGAGCACTGGCTGCTCTTGCAGAGGACCCGGATTCAGTTCCCAGCACCCACATAGCAGCTAACAACCATCTGTAACTCCAGTTCTAGGGGATCTGACGCCCTCTTCTGGGCATTGCATGACACGGGTGCACTTAACACATGTAGACAATATTATACACATAAAAATAATAAATAAAATAAAATTAATTACACACATACACACATGTATATGAAACAACAATCTTCAAGACACTAGAAATCAGGCAATGAAGGGCAATAATCCTTGAAAGACAGGAAATGAATTAGATGAGTCCTCCAATTGCCCAGTTTCCTACTTAGAGAAACTTTTCAGGCCACTGGGCAGAGATGGGAAATTGAGACAGAGTCCAGCAGACTCCCCAAATACTTATAGGAATACAAAAACATCCAGCACCAGCAATGTAAAACTTACAACGCTTGGCAACCAATCAAAAGTTATAGGGCATGTAATGAAATAGGAAAATATAACTCAAATTGAGGAGGTCATTAAATCTACCAAAACAGGCATGGGGTGTATCTCAGTGATAAGCACTTCCCTAGCATGTATAAGGCCCTGGGCTCCACTGCCAATACAAAATAAGTAAGTAAATAAATCTATCAAAATGGGTTCATAAGTGCCACAGATGTTTGAACTAGCAGACAGGATATTGAAAAAGTGATATAACCATATCTCATATCTGCAAGTCATTAGAGCTATGAAATATAATTAAAAATCCCAAGTTGGCTGGGCATGGTGGTGCACACCTGTAATCTTAGCACTCAGGAGGCTGAGGGAGAAAATTGCTGAAAGTCCAAGGCCAGCTTGCAGGTCAGAATAAGATCTGTCTCAAAATAACAACAAAAAAAAAAGTCCCAAGCTGAACTTCTAGAAATGAAAACTACATTGTCTGCATTATAGGCAAAAAACTACACCATGTAACAAGCCCATACTAACCAATGTCCCCTCCCTGAACTTGAGCCCCGTCCCTTCTGTCTCCATAGACCCTGGCACCATCACCAGTACCCATACCTGTCACCCTCCATCTCTAGCTCCTGCCTTTCTGCCTAGAACCATTGAAATCTCTCTTGCCCTAAAACATTTTCCCAATCACTTATGGCCTCATGTGTTCAAATTTTGCTAAAGGATGACCCAAACAGGCTGGGAATATCCTGGGATTTCTATATCCATTTCCACACCTACTCTAACTCACCCCAGTGTCCCCTAGTCCTGACGGACTCAGCATTCCTCCTATGCATATGCATGCGCATTCACAGACAGCATGCATATGCCCCAGGGGGAGGAGGGGAAAGGAGGGCATCTTTTCCTTGGAACTCTCTGCAGTCAGAAATGTCAACAGCCCATATCTGGAGGGATGCATGCCCTGCTCACCAAGTGAACATGGCAGACTTCAGAGAGACAAAGCAGTTGGCAGCTAAGACAGGGTGCTGGTAAAGCCCTAGAAACCGGGCACTTGCCTTCCCAAAATGGATTTTCTGTCCTAAGATTCTGCCTGTGAGGCCCTTGCTCTTCATCGCCAGTGACTTGACGGACATTTTCCTCAGAGTCCAGCTGCTGGATGTCTTGAAAGTCCTTCTCCATGATAAGTTCCCAGGGCTGGAGCTGGAACTGGGACTGAGTTGAGGTTTCTCTTAGGGCTGGGTCTGGGGTTTGTGCTGAGACACAAAATTCTGTGGAGGGACTGAAATAGGACCTGAGTGGGTCAAGATGAGTGTGCCTGAGAGTGAAGATTAGTTTGGGGCAAAGATATAAAATACTATATATGGTCCTGTCTTTTCTTAAGAGATGGCTTGGTCCTTGGCATGGCCAGGAGCCTTCCCACCACACTCTCATGGACCAAACCACTCCACATGTTCTCATCCAACCCCCAGTGTCCCCAAACCATGGTCCAGTCATCTCCAGTTCCTCCTGCTTCCCACCACCTCAGTTACCTGTTAAAGGTATGAAGAGCTGACTCTGGTTTCCAAAGGCAATCCAAACCCAGGGAGAAAAAGGGGTTAAAGCTGGGAGAAATGGGGCAGGTGGTGCTAGATGAGAGGGGAGGAGGGAATTAATCCAGGGAAAGACCCCGAGTCCCAGTGTATGAGCGTCCAAGTCAGTCTAACCTGTCATCTCCTGCCCCCTGGGACTTTGAACTGTAAATAGAAATAGAAACACAGTTGGAACTTGGACCATGAGTAATGGAGCAGACAACACGTTTCTGTTCTCACAACAAGAAAAAGAGGGTCTCCTGGCCCATAAACATAGGCACACACACCCACTCTAGTCACCTTATTCCTAGTTGCACAATTTGGAAGGGGAGCCAGGCATGGATGGGCAGAATGCAGTTTGTTGTTTCCCCTCTGTCCCTCCCGTTTCACTTCCTGCCTCTGCATTTCCCAGAATTATTGATGTCTCCAAATATCCCTGACCAGGATCAGAGGGACCCGCAGACCAGTTCCCTGTTCTTGACCTATCTGAGCCTGTGACTCTGGTACCCCAGCCCCAGGCTCCCCAGCTCTCCAGTGAGTGGTCTGATTCACTCGCCCTCTTGAGTATTTAAGTTCCTCAAGATACAGAGGTCATAGCAGGAGGAGAGAGCAGCACAGAAAGCAGGTCTCCTTTTGGCAGGAGCACCCTCTGTGACCCCAGCACCATACCAGGCCCAGGAACACAAACATTTGTCCTCTTGTCCAGCCACTGTTATAATTTATCTATAGCATCTGATGAAATGACTCAGTGGGTAATGTGCTTGCTTCATCAGCATGAAGACCTGAGTTTGTATCCCCAAGCACCCATTTAAAAAGTCATACATGTCAGCACATGCCTATAATCCCAACACTCAAGGGAATGGGCAGAGACAGGAGGATCCTGGCAAATCACTAGCCAGCCAGTCTAGTGAGTTTGAGGTTCAGAGAAACGCTGTCTCAAAAGATAGGGTAGACAGCAATAGAAGACACTCAAAATCAATCTCCTGCTTCCACACGCACACACAGGTGAGCACACACACACACACACACACACACACACACACACACATATTATCTATAGGTGTTTTCTTATTTAACCCTCACAACACAACCCTATGAGGTCAGCACATTTATTATCTCCATTTCACAGGCAAGAAAATGGAGTGTTGGGGGATGGTCTAGGTGGTGATATAATTTGGTTCTGGAATATCCCCCAAAAGCTCATGTGTCAAAGGCTTGATCCTCAGACTCTAACACTATTACTATTAGGATGTGTAGAAATTGGGGAGATCTTCCAGCAACTGGAGGCACACCTTCAAAAGACATTGTGAAATCCTAGTCCTCCCTCTTCCTCTCTCAGAGTTTAGGCACTAGCGGATTGGCTTTGCCCTCCCCCACGCTCTCTGTGGTAATGTGCTGCCTCACCACTGATCCAAATCAATAGAGCAAATTTATCACTGATCAAAACACCAAAACCATAAGCCAAAATAAAACTCTCTTTATAAGTTGATTTAGCTCAAATACTTATTACTGGATCTAAATCTGACTGCTCACTGTTCCAAAGCCAATCAATACTCCAGATGTAAGAGATGGTGGAGAGGCAATCAGTGTTATTTGAGGGCCGGCATCCTGGAAAATGAGAGGAGGCATTGTCCCAGAGTCCCATCTTGGAGAATTCAGGTACATGAAAGGGCTTTTGTAGGTAGGGAAAAATGATGTGGTTCAGGAGTCAACCAACAGGAGAAATATATCTCGAGTCATACATCTGGACCCCACAGCTTTCTTTGTCCCTGGGGGGGGGGGGTAGATGTTTTCCTTTCTCTTTTACCGGAATATCTTTAAGATAACAATTAGCCTTCATCACCTAGGCCAGTCCCTGTGATTCTTTAAGTAAACACATTATTTTTCTGCAAATTAAACAAAATCCATACTTCTGCTTTTAATAAGGGAACAGAATTAGAGTATTTTGTGTTAGTTGATGAACATCCTGATGCTGTGGGAAGGTCATCAGATGTCCTGGGTTCTGTTAGAGAAAAGTTACTGATCACCAAGTTTTACAATTTGAGTCCTTTTAGTTCCTTTTCCCAGAAATAGCTAACTTTGCAGATTAAGATACAGAATGGGAGGAGAGCAGCAAGGAGCTTCTGCTGGACAAGTTTTAACCCCTTAGGCAGCTTCAATCAGAGGTGTTATCTACAGCAAAGCTAATGAGAAGCTGATCATACACCATGTCCCTGTGGGACTATACATTAGTGAATTTTTTTTCAAATTAGTGATATTTTAAAGTCAACTAAGAACAAATGAAGGTAGACGGTTTATTTATTGTCTTCCTCGGTTACATTTGTTAACCTGAGAGAAAGTTAACACGGAAACTGATACCAAGAAGTCGGGCAAGCATTGTCATAGCTAAGACGATATAAAAGACCCTTAGGATTTGCAGGGAAACTCTGAAAGAGTTTGGGGCTATGGAACAAAAAAAAATCTACAAGAGTATGAGCAGAGCTTAGTAAGTGATTCTGGGGAAGGCTCAAAAGAAAGCAACGTTAGCTAGAGAAGGTGGCACATGTCTTTAATCTCAGTACTTAGGAGGCAGAGGCAGGCAAATCTCTGTGAGATGGAGGCCAGCCTGGTCTACATATTGAGTCAGGTCAGCCAAGGCTATACAATGAGACTCTTTCTCAAAAAACAAAACAAAACAAACAAAAAGAATGTTGATAGTGTAATGGCCCCAAATGGAGTTCCCCAAATTGTAATAGCCAAAGTAACTTCATTTTGTATAAAGCGGCCACTTTAAACTTCAAAGGCTAGAAAAACAACCAGCTTCAAGGTTAAGTGCCTGAACTTGGTTGCTTCCCCTTAGAAGAGTGCTTTCTTTGGAGTAGCTGACCTTGGTCAGCTCCCAGACACTGCAGCTGTGCTTCTTGCCTAGCCAAGAAGCCTAAATAACAATAGTAATCAGAAAGTGCCTTACTGTCAAGGTCTTTATACCTCTGTTAAGAGGACTAACAAAAGCTTGTTCTGGCTTCTGTAGTTTGCTTATCTGCTAACTGACCCTACTCAGGACCATCTGGCATTACTCATGTGTGATGAAATTCCTAAGGTATTTATGGTTTTTGCCTTTATAGGTTAGTTTCACCCTCCCTTTGGGGCTGTGGGTCCTGAATCTGATGGACAGCTATAGCCCTAATAAATTTTGCCAATTAAAATTTGAATTGGGTCTGGTGGTCTTTTTCCCAATGGTTTCAAATAGGTAACAATTTCAAATTGGTAACAATAGGACTTCAGAAAGTGAAGATTATGCTGATGAAATTTCAGGGAAATGAGGATTCTGTTGAAAATTAGATTAGAAACAACTAATATTACACACACACACACACACACACACACACAATTTGCATGTTCTCATGTACTGCAGCTTTGTGAGAGGCTTTTTTATGTGTATGAGTATATTACCTGCATATGTGTAAGTGCACCTCCGTTGTACATTGCCTGTGGAGGTCAGAAGAGGGTGTCAGATCCTCTGAAACTGGAATTATGAATGGTTGTTATTTGCCATGTGGGTGCTGGGAATCGAACCTGGGTCCTCTGCAAGAGCAGCCAGTGTTCTGAACCACTGAGCCATCCCTCCACCCCCATGACAGGCTTTCTTAAAGGTAATGGGCTGGCTTATTTCACAGAGGACGTTTTGAAGCAGCACAGCATTCAGGCAGTGGCACAGACATTACTGGCTGCTTTAAGTCAAATTTACTGTGATAATTGGGAGCAAAGAAGAGCTGAGTGGAAAAATTAAGAAAATTTGTAGTTTCTCTTGAAAAGAAGCAGGTGCAAAGATTCCGCAAAGGAGGTGCAATTACCAAAATCCAGCACCACTGAAAAGAGGCCAAGTTTTTTGTACTGAAATGATTTTTTAAAAAAAAAGATACCCTGGGGCTGGAGAGATGGTTCAGTGGTTAAGAACACTGGTTGTTCTTGCAGAAGACCCAGGTTTGAATTCCAGCACCCACATGGCAGCTAACAACTGTCTGCAAATCCAGTCCCAGGGGATCCAACAGCCTCTTCTGACCTCCAAGGGCATTGCATGACACAGGTGCACTTACCTACACACAGGCAATACACACATACACATAAAATAAAAATAATAAAGAAAGAAAGAAAGAAAAAGATACCCTGAGTTTATCTCAGGAATGTCAAGACACCATCCTTCTCAAGTTCAAATGCATAGGAGTACAATTTTGTTTCAAAAAATTTTCCAAGGCAGAGTCTTGAGAAAAGAGCCCCAGGGCTCCCTGATGCCGGAGATAAAATCATTGTCTATCCAGGTGGAACATCTAAAAGATAGTCAGATAGAGGACTCGGGATCACCAAAGGTCCTCAAAGCCAGGGAACTAGGGAAGAGGATGTAGAACAGAGCCCCAGAAAACACCCACACAGAGCAAACGTGATAAGAAAAAGAGCCCAGAAAGGGGATGGTTGTGACTGAATATGTGTTAAGTGCCCAGTCCCCAGCTCATGGCGCAGTTTTGGGAAGTAGTGCCTATCTGGATGAAACATGTCACTGGTGGTATGGCTTTGGTGGTTATGGTCCCAGTCCCTTCCTCTCTCTACTTCCTGTCTGCAATTAGATGAACAGCCTCATGTTCCATCTGCTCCTACTGCTTCACCTCAGGCCCAAACTAATGGAGCCACAACCACAGACTGAAATCTCTGAACTGTGAGCTACAAAAAATAATTCCTCCTGTTTCTTAGGTTTTTATTTGCATATATTAATTATATATAATAATGTATTTCAGTATGACAGTTCCATACATATATAACTTATTTTGATCAGATTCCATATTCAACCCTGTTACCCTCTCTTTTCCCTCCCATCCCTCCCCAATCCCTCTGAATTGAATGCCCCTCCTCTTCCCAACTACTCCCCTTTCTACTTTCACGTTTTTGGGGGGTTTTCTTTAGGTCCAAAGAGTTTAATTCAGGTTACTTACAGGAGCATGGGTGGAGAAGTTTTTTTATGGAAGTATTAGCAATTTACCAGTGATTTCGCCACTGAAGAAAATGCCTCTTCCTCCCCCAGAAACCATTAATTGTCTACAGATGCTCAGAAGGGGTGGGGTCTCATGAGCTCCTCCTTCCTCCATGATGAATTCCTCCCTTTTAAGT